AGACTTACAGGAATATGTTGCATGCATCTGCAATATTCATACTAATTTGCTTTCTGTCTCTATCCCCTTCTGGATACTTCATATAGAGACTCATACAGCATGTGGCCTTTACTTCTGGCTTCTTTCACTTAACATAATGATTTTGAGGTTCATTCATGTTGTAGCATGTATTCATTTTTATTGCTGAATATCAATATACTTTTATAGTTATTTAACAAATTATTCTAATTGTCTTTCTTATTTTTAATACAAACTCTGTGAAGATAGAGATCATTGCTAAGTATTACTATAAATCCTTATACCTAGGAATACCATTTACTGTGGTTGCTCAGTACGTGGAGTAAAATGTAAAACTCCAGAATAACATTTATGAACTCAGAGAATATCAGCCTACATGCCTATCTATTCTGTGGGTTTTTTTTTTTTTTAAAGATCTATTTATTTATTTGAGAGAGAGAGAGAATGTGAGCGCAAGTGCGGGGAGGGGCAGAGGGAGAGATCTTTAAGCAGACTCCCCTCTGAGCATGGAGCTGGATGTGGGGCTCGATCTCAGAACCCATGAGATCATGACCGGAGCCAAAATCACGAGTCAGACATTTAAGACTCAGCCATGCAGGCACCCCTCTATCTCTGCTTAATCTGTATGTGTGTGTATATATATATATATATATATATATATATATATGTGTGTGTGTGTTAATATGTATATCTCTAGCATAATTATGCTTTCTTCTCTTTTCCTTCCTTTCATTACCTTTTTAAATAAAATTAAAACATGAGGGGGAATCTATATAATTTCACACCAGCATAATAAAGCGAGTGCTACTATATGTAGTAAAGTTTCCTTGTAAAATTAGTAAGATTGTAGTATATAATATTGCCTTGATTCAGTGATTTGCTTTCATAACTTTTACTTGGGTGTTTCAGTAATAAACTTTTATACAAATGGAAACTTACTGAAATACTGATTGGTTTATAAATAGTGCTATAGTAGATAACAAGGAGGTGAAACAACTTTCATGGAGGAATTTTTTTTATGGATTGTATAATTTATACATGCATGCTTCTTTGATTAGATGAATTACCAGCTTTCCCTTATAAAACTCCAAGGCAATTTACACTTAATCATGCTGATGAAATTAGGTGAATTACTCAAGATTGCAGAATATAGGACTTAATTTATCATTTGTTATTTTTTCCAGATTTATATCAGGTTACATGAAGTTAAGAGTTAAAGTAAATACTATGTCAGCAGTTTACATATGAAGTCTTACTCTAAAGTATAAAGTCAAGACTTTACAAGCTTAAATATCTATTTTAATATCTTAAAATATATTTTAAGTAATTTGTATTTATTTTTATATTACATTAGCACCTAAATGTACTATTTTGGTAGATAAGGTGAGAATACTGATTTATGAAAGCTCTTTCTACTCTTCATGCCTTTCCTGCTGGTGTTAGCTATCAAGAAAATGGACTATTATCTTTTAGTTTTGTAACTTCATTATTAAAATATGAAGTTATAAGTTGTAATTTCACAAGTTGTTTTTCCTCCATTTGGGAATGAGTTAAAATGAGGCATTGGGAAAGAAAGTATCTTTATTATTTTATGTAGCCATTTTTGATGGATTATTTATTTGGTAAGACACTTCACTTCCTTGAAGCAGTAAAATAAAACATTTAGCAGTTTGCCTCGTTAGTACTTGTTAAAATAGGTAGCTTGGTTTCTGGTCATGAATCATGCTAATTGAAAGAACCTGAAAGCTATTTAATATTTCATTTAGATTGTTATTTGTTTTTGTTATTGAGAGCAAATTATTGGACAGATTTTTTTTTAATATTTTATTTATTTATTTGAGAGAGAGGGAGCCTGCATCTGTGAGCGGGAGGGGAGGCGGTGCAGAGGGAGAGTATCCCAAGCATACTTCCTGCTGAGCACAGATCCTGACCTAGGGCTCAATCTCAAGACCCCAAGATCACGATCTGAGCCAAAATCAAGAGTTGGACGCAACCAGGTGCCCCTGGACAGGTTTTTTTTTTTTTTTCTCTTAAATGCCCTTGTTTTCTTGAATGTGAATTTTTGTTTTCTTCTTTCTTTGTTAATAAAATCTTATTATATTAAAGGATTTGAACTCATGGTGAGTCTCTTTGGCTTAAACTTGCTAAAAGTCGTGGATGATTCTTTCAAAAGAGAAAATATAAGCCAAGAGAAAAAGAGTAAGGAACAGGGACTTAGCATATGATAGCTCAGATAAATGGTGTACAAATATGCTCCATGTAAGGAGATGCCATTTGCATCCACATAGAGTCACTTACATGAAAACATGCAAGTGTGGCGATTTCAGGCTTGTCAGTCAAGTCCTGATGCAGCTGGGGAATGCTCTCTTCTACACAAATCTGGACAGCACATGGAGCCGTCATATTTACCCACTCAGAATTCCAAGCAGGCACTTACTTGGCACACACATACCTCTTATGATGCTCTTCGGGCATCCCCTGAGGTTGCTTTTGTCTCTCGGCAGTCCATTCCCACTCCATCTCTGAACCTGACACAGACTTTAACCACCCTAACTCTGAATGTGACATAGATACTCATGGAGTGGGGAAGGGGAAGGGCCTGGAGAAGGGAAGGAATGTGTGCCTTGCAAGTGGCGTATGTGTCCCTCTTTCTGCTGGTTTTTAAGAAAAGGCCAGAACAAAGAAGATACATGTGTGTGTGCAGCCAAGACTGCTACTCTCTCGGGCTCAGTAAACTTCCTCTGGAAAGCTCTTCAGGTTGTGCAGTATTTCTTTTTGAAAAAGGAGAGGCTTTTTCTAATTTGCAGGAAAGCACGGCAAAAGCTAGCAGTGGCCCTATAAAGACCCTGTAGATAGTGAACCTATTCTCAGTGTCCCCTGGTGTCCTTTGCAGTCCACCAAGTCATTTTTTGGAAACAAAAACAAGATACAGGAATATAGATGATTAAGATTCCATAATGCATCGTAGACTTATATAGAACGGTACAATAGAGCCATATGATAATTGCAAAAAAAAAAATGTGTCATTCTGTTAAAAATAAGTAAAATTGATCTTTGATAGTTTGTAAGACTGCGAAGAGAAAAAAAAAATGTCGTACTCCTCCCAAATAGAGTACTCCTCCCAAATAGAGCTACTGAAAAAGGAAACTCAAAATAAATTTGGTTCCAGTGGATCCTGCTGATGTATTAAGAAATGAGAATGTAATATTATTTACTCTTTGAAGATGCTTACCAAGGTTTTGATTTTATTTTAAGTTTTTTTAATGTTCTCTAAATTATTTCCCCTTCCTCACAGAATCAGATTTCTTTTCCTCCCTCCTTCCTTCACCCCCCCTTCCTCCCTTTCCCCTCCCATTCCTTTTTCCCTATCCTTCCACTCCTGCTCTCTTCTGCTCCACCTCTTTCTCTCCCATCCACTTTCCATTTTCCTCCTTCCTTCCTTCCAGTTTTGCTCTATATCTGGTGATTGTTTACTGTCTTTATATTTAAAAATGTAGGTGTGGTTTATTTTAGGTTATAGACTCTCATCTTGTTTGCTTGTATATAAGTACTTTGTTTTTCCATACTTTTTGGATTACTACAGCTTTGTAGTACATCTTGAAGTCTGAGATTGTGATACCTCCAACTTCGTGCTTTTTCAAGATTGTTTTTCCTATTTGATCTCCTTCTTGAATGGGAAATCTGAGAGACAAATAGAATTTTCATAGGGCACGGTGATTGACAGTGTCACTGTATGGTGGGTGAAAAGAGACCAGCCCATCTGGCTGTAGGCCCCCTATTGTGATAATGCAGAGGGATTTATTCTGGGTGGTAACCCCACACTGGAAGCCTTAGCACTTCCTGGTTAATCAGTGAAATGTCCTTGGAAATAGCATGTGGTCCTGGAAGTGGTTGGTTTAAATACTCTGCCTCCCAACCTGAAATCATTTTCCTGGGCAGTAGAGGTCAGGATGGATGGTTATTGAAACAGTTGTTTATGTGTAAACTTTTAATTAAGCTTGATTTTGACTCTACTTTTCACTGCCGCCCTTAATCCCAGTGACTCCCATCTTCATTGTAGCTACTTTATACTATCTTCTGGATTGTCTCCCCTGTTCATTTTATCCCTAACCCTTTGTTTTCCCATCTTCCCGAAACATATTGCTATCTTCTCCCCTGCTCCTTCACTCCCCTCTCCTCTCTTCCTTCACTCTTCTGGGTTTATGCTTTTCTATCTTGATGTTGTAATTACTAGGGTACTGGGTAGGACTGGAAGTCAACACATTTTCTCAGTGTGCAACTTTCTGAAACATGCATATCAAAAGGCAGTATCTGTTACAGTTTTTACTACCACCAGTATTTGAAATTTTCATTTTTATAGCATCCCAACTATTACATTTTTTTTGCCAGCTAAAGTGTATATGTTTCTGGTTCTAATGTGTAATCGTCTATAAGAAACTAGCAAATCCTCATTTTTTTCTTTTGAGTTTGTTGTTAATATAATTTTCTAGGGATTGTTTGTTCCTTTGAATTTCATTGGCACTGTGAAGTCCTGGGTTTTATAAGCAGTTTTCATAGAATCTTTATGTAGTATTTTGACTCTTCATCACATTTGCTTCAACCATCTTCTAGTCTTTGTTTTCACCCTAATTTTAATTATGTTCATTTTATAAATTATATTTTATTTGAATGTGTTTATCTGTTTTGTGATTTCTAAACTTTGAAGTAATAAAAAAGTTACCACCCCTCCAGACAGTTTATATTAATTAGGAATTTTATTTTTGTTTTACTAAACTTTATAAAATTAATTTTTGTGGAACACTCTTGCAGAATAATTTGACAGTGCATTTTGAGAGCCAAGAAACTGTCTCTGTGTTTTGATCCTGTTCTCAGAAGGCTTAATTAAAAGAAGGATAAGAGTTTGGTGTTTTGAATTCAACCATATTCTTATTTTGTCAAATGCTTTGAAACACTAAAAGGTAAAATATGTTTGTGTTTTCCAGATTATTGCTCAGTTGTAACAATTGTGGACCAGACAAATGTAAAGTTAACCTGCTTGCTCTTCAGTGGAAATTATGAAGCCCTTCCAATAATTTATAAAAATGGAGATATTGTTCGCTTTCATAGGCTGAAGGTATAATTCCGATTGTCCAGAACTCATATTTGTTCGAAGAGAACTCTGTATTTTCACTAATACTCATTAGCCCTAATTATGTGGTTGCTGTGGCAGAACATGGCATCGAGCATTTCAAGAAACAAGAAGAAATGTAAATAATACCAGACTTCAAATAATTAATATTAGGAAACCTCTTCATTTGGACAAACTGCCTGTGCTCCTTCCACAAGAAGTGTATTAGATACCATGATTAAGACGAGTTGCTGGTTGCATTCTGTCTTCTCATTTCTGAATGTAGATTGATGCTTTAAAGGTTTCCATGTAGAGCTGGGTTTAAAAAAAAAAGAAGCCCTAGGCCAACAGGGCTTTTTCTTTTTTTTTTTTTTTACTTTTTGATAAAGTAATTCTATAATGATTGAGAGGTTATATTATTTTCCCCTGTTTGTTGTGTTAATTCAAGTACAGTGAAAGCATTGAGATATTAAATATAAAATCAAAGTAAGTTGATTTCATTTATGAAAAATGTATTAAAACATGAACAGATATTTTGGTACTTTTCAAATTATGCTATCAAACAATTAAATGTAAGGAAACCTTTAATATGAAGGTAAAGCTATTAAATAGTATGTAATTTAAAAAAATAAGTACTTTAATATTTTCAATCCCTTAGGTTTTAAGCATATCAATTGACCCTTCATCTTTTCCTCTTGTTAGATGGGTTTCCATGAAGCTCTTTCATTATCTTCTTCTTCTAATGCTTCAGTTTATCTGTGTCCCTCATGGTCAGTGCGATGCTCATAAGTGAGCACAATATTCTGGGTATGTTCTGTTCTTAGTTTTGGTGGAAATTACCTTTCTTGATCTCTAATGCCTTTCCCTGAGAATAGAAGAGTAGTAGAGAATATTTGTGTGAAGTTAAAAAGGAAATAGAAATATTATCATCGTAGCAAGTTTATCCCAACTTCAAAAAATAACTTATTTCTCACACACTATTGTTTCAGACAGTGCACTCCTCCCTCCTAATGTTTTTAGTTGTTATTCTTGCTGTTTAACTGAAGTAGGATATATATCTCTCAGTTCTATTTGTTTTAAAGAGAATAGACTGTAGGTTTTGTTTTTTAATGTATGGCTTATGCTTGTGTGATTCAACCATATTACTGTGTATAGTTTCACTTTGCTCATTTTCATTGGTAAGTGTGTGAATGCATCAGAATTTATATATTCTGTGGGACATCCTGTTTGAGAATATTATTCTGCTATAAACAGTCTAAGACATATCTTTTAGTGAATATATATATTAATATTTTTATTATTAATGAAAAATTTACTGGATAGGCTAAATAGATTAGCTATATCATTTTTACTTGAACGTAGATCAATAGAAATTATCTAATGTGAAGAACAAGGATAAGCAAAAGATTGACAGAGCCTTGGGGACCTGTGAAATAATATCAAATGGTGAAACGTGTCATTTGAAATGCACAAGAAAACTGTGTGAATGGGAAACAAAAATACTTATAGAAATACATAGAAATGACCAGAATTTTTCCAAATTTGATGGACAACATTGACTTACAGATTTTAGAAACTCAGTGCACTCCATTCATGGCACCACAAAGAATAGCATGCCTAAACAAATCACTGTGGAACCATTGAAAAAGATTTGAAAAAAGAACTTGAAATGAGCTGGCAGAGAAATAACACATTCCATATAGGAAACGTAATACCAGCCATCTTTGATTTCTTATCAGAAATAATGGCATTTGAGGAACAAAGCAATGATAAATTTAAAGTGGTGATAGAAAATGGATTCACCTGGAATTTTGTATCCAGAGAAAATATTTTTCAAAAATGAGAGAATCCACAGCCAGCATATCTTTGCTATAAGTAAATGCTAAAGGATGGTGTTCAGGACAAAAAAGAATGCTACCAACCAGAAACTTGATGGTTAGGAAATGACCAAAAACAACAACAAAAAAGGAAATGGTGATAAATGGTGAAAGATACTGTTTTGTATTTCTTCTCATAATTTCACTAAAAGATAAATGGCTCTTTAAAAGAAAAACAGTAACATTTAGGAAGGTGGAGTGTATAAAATATGTAGAAAAATATGAACGATAGCACAGGGATGGTTAGGATGGTTAAGTGGAATTAACCACCAAAAGGTTAGTACGTACCTTCAGAGGTTATTACACTTTCAGTAGAAAGTGTAAAATGGGATATGGGCAAGTGGGGAATATGATATAGAAAGTAGGGATTATGTAGTAGAACTATATTGATTCCTAATAGACTTTGAGATAAGGATTCTTTCATAGCTCAGAGGAGGTAAACAGAATACTAATAAGTTCAAAATATGAGAGGAAAGGAACGGTAGAAAAACAATTTTTAAAAAACAAAAAAGGGGGGATACAGAAGGAAAACAAATAAGATAGTAGACTTAAATATAACCATATCAATAATTTTACGTAAATGTACTAAACACTCCTTTTGTAAGGAAAAATAGACTGAATAAAAAAGCAAGAACAAATATCACTCCCTACAAGAAATGAAGACACAAATAAGTTGTAAGTAAAACTGTAGAAAAGATATACCAAGCAAACAAGAAGCATAAGGAAAATGAAAACACTATATTAATATCAGATGGAGTATTACAGGGGATTGAAAGGGGGGCATTTCATAAGTACAGAAAGATTGCTTAATGAAGAAGATGTAACCATGGTAATACACATGCATATACTAGCCGAGTCTCAGGAATTTGAAAGCCAGAGTCTTTGTGGCTTATCTTGGCTCTCAGACTGATGAAATCTTAGCCTCACTGCATTTTATTCACTTTGAAGTCTTGTACTTTAAGTGTTCTAGTTTTCCTTGTAGTGGTCATAAGTAATTGTCACTATGTTTTTCCTTTTGTAAATTATACATAGTAAGAAAAGTAATAACTGTAAAAGTGCAAGCCTTATAGGATCAGGGAGTCGACCACCTAGACCTTTAAAAAATAGAAATAAATACTACATAGTGTTTTACAGTTTACATGGTACTTGTGGATCTTGGTACAGCCCAGTTGATTTTATAATTTTGTATGCTAATTAAGTAAAATATATTAAATAATTATATCCTCTGAACTATGCTGGCAAGACTTTCTAATCTTTCAAGTTTCTTGAGTTTTGGGGTTCTGCGTCAGCTGTTTTGTTTTCTGCTTTGCCCAACTTTCTTAGATCCAAGTATATAAAAAGGAGACTCAGGGTATCACCAGCTCTGGCTTTTCATCTTTGACATTTGAGGGAACTTTGGGAGCTCCTATCATACCTCGTACCTCAAGCAAGTATTTTAACTTCACTGCCGAGGACCACAAAATGGTAGAAGCTCTTCGTGTTTGGGCATCTACTCATATTTCACCTTCTTCGACATTAGTAAAATTGTGTGATGTTCAACCACTGCAGTATTTTGACCTGACTTGTCAGCTCTTGGGCAAAGCAGAAGTGGATGGAGCATCATTTCTTCTAAAGGTAGGTATTTTAAATACTTGAAATTGTAAATTAGCACCACCTACATATCTAAAAAGAGCTTATATTTCATTCTGGTGGGATAAATATGCATACTGTGTATTATAATAAGAACTTTAAATCTAACTTACCATGTTTGATGAACTTAGATATTCATGCAACTCTACTCTTGAACTTCTTTATACTTCCAGAGAAAAATAGTATTATCAATAGTTTAGATATAGTTTATGCTTTATTTCTTATTTTAGTATTAATAAAATAAAAAGTTGTTTTCTATGTTATATTTTAGTTACATTTCTACATATGCATATTTCTGCTTCCTTGTCAGGGTAGCCTTCCTTCTCATTTACTTTCTTGGCTCATTCATGTTGGGTTCTCTTCCCATGTCATTTCACTGCCTGTTTCATTGGGTAGATCACAGATGGTTTTGAAATGTTCATTTTTGTTCTGTTTTCTTTCTAAATCAGCATGATTTTTTAAAAGTAAGACCCATCTAATCTTTGTTTATACTTACCCCAATTTACTCATGAATAGCTAGAGAAAAAGACAGTTGTCTGATACTAATCCTCATCTGCCCATCCTACGCACAATACATTTAAAAAAACACTGCTTCAGCTCTGCTCCTATGGTTATTTCTTTATCTTCTGACTCTTTGAAACAATAGGATAAGAAACAGAGTACAGAGGCACAAGTATTGGGTGTAGCTTTATTATCATTTATACCTTGCCCTTATTAAGGAATGAGGAAGATAGAAATCCCTGCATAAAAGATGAAGTGTTTAAAGTTGAAAGTAGCACATTTACATACACATGACATACTCCAAAAAAGTAATTGCATGCTGTAAAAAAATTTAAGTCAAGTATGACAGCTAAAGTTAAAGCAAAGTAAAATCATCCAAAATTAGAAGGAATCCTAGGTCAACTGGTCATACTTTTTGCCCAAAGTGACATCCTTAACAGATGAGCATTTGTTAATCACCAAATACTTCCAATGACAAGTAATCGTTGCAGAGTATGAGTGTAGATCTTTTGACTGCTGTGTTAGAAAATTCTTAAATTCTGAGATAAAATCTGCCACCTTTTAGCTGACGTGGCTGAATCTACATTCACTCTAAAGCAACAAAACATACGCATGCATTCCATTTTTACAGATAGCTTTTTCAGATAAGTGAAAGCTTTGATTTAGATGTTATTTTAAAATACAGCATTCAGAAGTGAATTTATTTTTGTAAATTTTCTAAATTCATTTTATAAATGCGGAAAAATGCATTTAAAAGAATATTTTATTTCTTACAGTAACAAAAATTGGAAACACTCATTACTAACAGAATTGTGTGAAGTATTGATATATTATGGAATACTCTGTTACAATAAAATGACATTGTAGACATGGTTACTAAGATAGATATTCATAATATTCTATTTGGCAATTAATGCAGTTTTATTTATATACTAAAATATATGCATAGTAAAAGTACATTAAAAAGAATATATAGCAATATTTTACTTATCTCTGGGAAGTCAAATTTTGAGTGATTTTTTTTCTGAAATTGATTTTCCTATCACATACCAGAAATAACTTTTTAAATTATGTTTTAAACACAAAAGGAGCCAGACATTACTCCAAGTGAGGTCTGAAAAGCATGAATGTAGCATAATTATTTTCTTTCTCAGCTTGGATTTGATACTAGTGTTGTTCCCTATATTAGTAACTATGATACTAATTTATTTTAATTATTCTTGTAGACATGCTACACCAAAAACATATTAAAACAATAATATACTGTAATCCACAGTTTATTTTTAGAAATCAGAAATGGTTTAATTTTAAGGAAAATTATAATCCTCTTTGTGAATGTTAAATATATCTGTGAAAATGTTTAGCAAAATAGAATTAGAAGTATGTCTCCTTAACTTGATAAACAATTTCTCCGATAAATTAATCAAAATAATTAGTGGTAAAATTCTGAAGTCAATAATGCCAGGAACAAGACAAAAATACCCACTATTTTCTCTGTTACATTGTTCAGGAAATCTCAAGAATTCACTAAGATAAGAAAAAAAGTGAGAGATATAACTCTTTTAAAAGAAAGAGAAAAAGAAGGTCAGTAGTCAAGTTATAAAAACCCAAACAATGGACTGAAAAGCTACTTGGATTAATAAAATTATTTAGTGAGATAACTTGTTTAAACATTAGTGAAATATAGCTTTGCTACATATTAGTAATAAATAGAACACATAATTGAACAAAAGTTCTTCCAACGTCACAAAGACTGTAAAACGAGACAGTTTGGGCAAGAAATCCCTGACCTTCTGTGAGGAAACCTAGAAAGCGGGAGCATAAAAGAAAAGTAGGACTATTAAAAGGTTTTTGATTCTTTTTTAAAGTGTTTTAAAATAAAATGCCCTTTTAATTAAAACCATATTTTCTAAATTGACTATGATTCTGAAATTTATTAGAAACAGTAAATGATCAAGAATAAGACAAGAAGAACTTGACAAGAAAACTCAGACCTCCGTATCAGATATCAAAGCATATTATGAAATTACAGTAATTAAGATTATAGTAAGACTGATCAATGGAAAAGATTAGGAACCTCAGAATCAGTCTTACACTGTACATATAATATATTCATGATAAAAATAACATTGTCATTTCAAATTGATGAAGACAGATAGTTAAATGGTGATTGTTATCTATTTGGAAAAAGGAATCAGATCTATATATAATATACAAATTCCTAGCAGATTAAGTATTGATACAAAATTATAAAAGTTCCAGAATTTATTAAAAAAAAAACAAACCTGAGTTGTAAGTGATTAAAACTGAAGCATAAAAATAATGTAGCAACACTCTACTCTCTCAGCTCCTCCCCCAAAAGACTGGTAGATTCGTGTATAAAGCTATTTTAAAGTCACAAAAACAGTATACATGAAATGAAGGAACAAATTCCAAGTGGAGAAAAACCTTTGGGACATATAACTATTCCCAAAGTGTTTGTTCTGGTTCTTTGAATAATCTAGGCAACAGTGAGTGACCCAAACTCAGTGATTGTTTATTTGAAACCTGGCATAGTCACCAACATTATTAAATACTTCCTCTGTAAACTGACCCTGGCAGACAGCCTCTCTGTAGAAATGCAGTGTTTTCTGTTCATTGAGCCTGTTTCTCTTGTCCAGCCAAATTTCTTACATACAGAGGCATTCTTACCTCATGCCAGATGTCTTTTGTCATGCCATCTCTTAAAAGCCTAGCACAGCACAGGCTAGCTCACATGTTGAGGATGGTATGGTGCATACTTCCTCGTACTATGCCCGCTTATCTCAAGGTAGCTTACATAGCAATCCAATATATCTTTTCCTTTTCCAGCACCCATGATTTTCATTCATTTGTATTCACAGCCTCTAACATAAACAGAATGTTCCTATCTGTACTTTTAAAGGCCTTTTCCAAATTAGAACAAAGTGAACAAATGAGCAAAGTTTAGAATACATTCCTAAAAGTTAGGGATTTATACTTAAGAAAATTAGCAAATATAGTCATAAGGGTTTATATATAAGATGGTAAAAAAGATAAAGTAAATTCAACAATATGTTAGTACTTTCTTCTAGGTAGTGTGAATTTTTTTCTTCTTTACATTTTCTACATGTCCTATATCTATGTAGTCCTTTTATAATCAGAATATACGCCATGTTTAAAGCTTAGCAGATATTTGGGGGAATACATTTAATTACTTTTAAGTTATATTACCAGCAGATAGAACTCTTTTAAAAGTCTCTACAGTTACACAGAAAGATCATTAAACTTCACTCTACCCTATTATGGCAGGTATGGGATGGCACCAGGACCCCATTCCCATCTTGGAGAGTATTAATACAAGACCTTGTACTTGAAGGAGATTTAAGTCATATCCATCGGCTGCAGAATCTGACAGTAGACATTTTAGTCTATGATAATCATGTTCAAGTGGCAAAATCTCTGAAGGTGATGTTGAGTAGCAAATGTTGTTCTTTTTTTTTGTTTTTATAAATGTGGGGTAAATCATATTTATAGATGATATTTGAGGTCGAGAAATTAACTCCAAATTTATTTTTTCTTTAATCTTTAATTTGTAAAATATATTGAAAATAAGTTATTAGAAGAAAACTCAATTATTAGAAGATGCGTTAAGTTATAGTGGTTTGAACAACTTTTTAAATAAAATTAAAGAACATTTCCTGAATATTTTAAAGCTGTACACAATTTTATTATAAAAATAGTAAGGAAAAATTTTATTGTATGAAGTCGTATAAAATATTTGTAAGCTTAAATGTTAAGCTTTATTAATTAATTTTTCAAAATCTAGCCTACAACTTTGTACTCATTAATTTAAGAAATTGTTAATCCACTTCTTAATATATATCATAAATTGTGTGTGTTTGTACTGTACAGTTTATCAGAATTTGCTCACTGCTTTTGAGTTTTTAGGTACAAGTCCAGATATGACACTTCTTGATTATTAATATTGGGAATATTTTATTTATTCTTTTAATTCTTTTATTTGCAGGTATCTTTTGTAGCAACAAGTGGCATCATTAATAATAGTAATAATAAGAGTAACATTTGTTAAGCACATCATATGTATTTAGTACTATCCTGTGCAGTTAGTATTGTTGCCATTCCTATTTTACAAATGAGAAAACTGAGCAGTCACAGGTTAAGCCCAAGATTTCATGGCTACTTGGGTGAAGCCAGTATTTGAATCTAGTGTTTGTTTCCACAACCAGTCCTTTTAAGCAGTATAAAGAAATGATTTTCTTTATTGCAAATAGCTTCCATCCTACCTTTAGGGAGTTATACAGCCTACTTACAGAAAGTTATATGACCTACTTATAGGAAGAAAATAGTAAAAGTGAATTGCAGTTGTTTTAGATCTGAATTTTATGTCCAGTTTCCCTTTGTAAAGTAAATGTTCTTGGAGAAGGGAATAGTTCCTCACACACACAAATAAGCCTACCCAACTCAAATTGATAAATTAGATTAAAGTCAGGGTCCAGGAAGGTGATAACTGAACTTTCTTGTCCTTTATGTGTGTGTGTACATGGTTTCATACCTAACATACCAAGAGAAAATTGACTGTTGGAAGATACATTTTTGATGCTTTTCCCTGATTTTCTCTACATTGATTACTTTATTTCGAAAATAAATGTAATGATAAAGCCAATTCAGAGTCTTTTTTAAATACAGATAGATTTTTGGGGCACCTGGGTGGCTCAGTGGGTTAAGCATCTGCCTTCAGCTCAGGTCATGACCTCAGCGGGGTCCCTGCCTCTCCCTTTCCCTTTACCTTCCCCCTTCTTGACTGCTCTCTTTCTCTCTCTGTCTCAAGTAAAATAAATAAAATCGTAAAAAAAATACAGATAGAGTTCTTATGAATGAAAAAGATTTATGTTTTATTTTAGATTCTACTTTAACAATTTAATTCCCTTCCCTTTATGCTGCTTTTATAGGTCTTTCTGTTCCCCCTTGCTTGTCCTGATTCCCTTGTCCAAGTCCTGAACAACACCTAGCACAGTACTTTCCTTTTACTAAGGATGAAGTAAATAATATCTACTAGTGAATGAGTGAATCAATGAGGGCTGTGAATTTGATTTTTTTCAGCTCCCTTTTTGTCTGCTTTATCTCACCCACTAGAGGGTGCTCTGAGCACACATGACTAAGAAAATATAGGGCACTTAATGTTTTTCTGAAGATATCATAACATTGTATTATTTATCTGCAATAGAAAATATTGCAGAAATGCAGAAAAAAATGCCGCAAATGCAGAAATGTCTATCTGCCCCAAATGCAGAAAAGATATTTCTCATAATAGAAAAATGAAAAGGATTTTCTCTGTATAAGTAATGTAACTGTAGGCTTTTATTTAATGTATATTGGCATCCCATTTTATTTGTTCTAAGACAACCTCTATACCATTTGATGTTAAGAAATCCCCAGAGTCCAGTGACATTAATACAAATGAATTCTTATCAGCACTTGAAGACAGCTGTTTGAAATTGCATTTTTATACTGAAATACGTGGAACAGATTTTTATTGTATAGGAACAGGAAAAAATATTTTTTTAATAAAGAGAATAATTAAGGCAATCTTAAAGTATAATTGGCTTTTATATACATTTTACAATTGAAATCATTCTTAACATTTTTCCTCAATTTTGCTTTTTAAGTGTTAACACAAGCACTCATGCATAAACCCACATATACATGGGTACACAGAGACATTTCAAACTTTTTGTCTAGAAATTAAAGCAGTGTATTTCCAATCATCAGTCTTATCCTGACACAATTTAAAAATAATTAAAAGTATATATAGTCATAATTATGTTTTGGCCTTCAGTGACCCAAGAGCTGTAGTTTGAGTGGTTATTTTCAGACATACACAGGTAATTAAAAACATTAAAGGGAATTTCTTGATAGCTTGTAAGGAAGATTAAAATTATTTCTAAAGGGATAATAATTTCTTAATAGCCATATTTGCTTTGCTTTATTTTTGATGTTTACTGAAATGGGTTTTTATCACAGTTTTTGAAAGTATATTTTTTATAATTTTGGCTTTGACTCCCTCACTTGTATGTTTAGAATCTTATCCCATTACTGACAAGACTAAGCAATATGTGTCTATTATAGTAGAACATCTGGCACATTTCATAGTATATTTAGCAAGCTTAAAAAAAAAAACACAATGCTGCCTCCAGAAGGAATTTCTGGAAATAACATTTTGTCATCTTGATAAACTATATAAATAAATTCTTTCTTGGTCTTTATTGTTTTGTTATGAAAGACAATAGTAGAAAAGTTAGTATAATAAATACCCATGTGCCTATCATCTAAATTTAACATTTTTAAATGTTTTACCACACTAATTTCAGGTACTTTTAATTTTTAGAACATAAATCTCTACATACTGAATCTTCTTTGTACCTCTGCTCATTCTTATTTTTTGCTCCCTAGTATCTTCTTTCTATTTATCTTAGTATGTAGGTATGTACACCCATCTTTATTATGCTTTTATTTTATGTACTTATCTCTGAAAAATGTATGTGGTATATATATTATTCTGTAATTTGCTTTCTTTCTTTGAAATTATATTTTTAAGATATATCCATGTTCATATATGTATCTGCATTAACATCACAGGGTCTTAATTATTATAGCTTTATTTTTATTTTTTATAGCTTTATTATTAAATGATATTCTGTAGATCAAGCAAGTCCTCCCCCCCTCCCCTCCCAGTTTAGTCTTCAAACTTGACTTGCTATTCACGTTCATATACATTTTCAGGTCAGCTTTTCAAATTCCATAAAAGACACTAGGGATTTTGTTTGAAATTACACTGAATTTAAAGATTAATTTGGGGGGATTACTATCTTTATAATGTTGAAGTTTTTCATTTATGAATATGATATCTTTCTCCATGTGTTTAGGCCTTTAAAAAATTTTTTTTGTATCTGTACAAGAGATACAGTATCTCTGTATCTAGAGGGAGGTGGTTTTTAAATTTTGTGTTTTTTTTAAGTAAACTCTTCCCTCAAAGTGGGGCTGGAACTCATGACCCAGAGATTAAGAGTCAGATGCTGTACTGGCTAAGCCAGCCACGCACCCCCATGTGTTTAGGTCTTCTTTAAGGGCTTTGTATATACATGAACTGTGCTAGTGTATTCCCTATATTTAAAAAGAATCACAGAATGATGAACATTCAGAAGGAGTGAGATAACAGTGAATAGAAATAGAGTCGGTTTTTTCTTCCAATATCTTACTTTGGAGACCATGAGGAAAATCAGTTTTGTCTTCTTTTCTTTTTTAGAAATTTCTGTGTTTTCCTTCTCTGACTCTTTTTACCCTGCACCCCTGCCGTGTTATAGATGTCAGTGGAAGAAGTCAGAGGAAAAAAGACCTAAATTCCTCCCTCCTCCTCACAAAAACATTATTGGGAGGAAAAAGGTTATATAGCTTCTTCTTTTGAGTAGGTGTCAATTTCTTTGATAAACATTCTATATCTATCATTTTAAGTCTTCTACGTTAAAAGGATATCAAATACTCTATAATTAAAGCCGTTTTTAAGATTAAACAAGACATCTAAATTATAGAACATTTAGTTCAGAATTATAATTGGTTTAATCTTGTATTTGAACTCATAAAATGTGTTTCACATTATAGTGTACAGACACAGTGCTTATTACAAAAGTTTTCGTTCCATAAAACTTGTGGAATAGGAGAATATTTTAATATTACACTAAAAAAATTTCTAGTATTTTCATAATGAGAGTATTTTAGCAATCATTTAATTAAATCTTTTTTTAAAAGATTTTATTTATTTATTTGAGAGAGAGAGAGACAAAGATAGCGACAGAGAGCATGAGTGAGACGAGTGAGCACGAGCGAGACGAGTAAGCATGAATGGGGAGGAGAGGGAGAAGCAGGCTCCCCACCAAGTAGGGAGCCCAATGAGGGCCTCGATCCCAGGACCCTGGGATCATGACCTGAGCCGAAGGCAGATGCTTAACCTACTGAACCACCCAAGCACCCCAAATCTTACCTTAAAGTACCTAAAACAAGTTATCTTCAGAAACCTCAGACAGTTTTCCAAATCAAATGAGGGCTTAAGTTTGAGTTTGATTTAGGTAATGGGTTTCTTAACTACTTCCATTTTATCAATGCTAAGACTCAATCTTACTTTACGCTTTAATATCTCTGACATGGAAATATGTCTTCCATTTGGAAAAAAATATATAGATGGATACATATATATGTGCATAAAAACATGCACTTACATATTATATGTAGATGTATGTACATGGGTATATGTAAACATACATATATACATGCATACACACATCCATGTACATTTATATGTATACACATGTGTGCACACACAAAAACACATGTTTTGGTTTTGATATAGTGTTCTTTGGGCTGATGCCCAGTACACACCAGTAAAACATACCAGGATCCTTTCTGATTAGTCAGCACCCCTAATTGTTGGTCTTATGCCCTATATTGCCTAAGTATTTTATGTTATCAGAAATTGTTTGATTTTTTTTCATTTTCTAAATAATAAATAATATATTTTTAGGTTGGAAGTTTTCTTAGAATTTATAGCCTCCATACCAAACTTCAGTCCGTGAATTCGGAGAACCAAGCAACATTGTTAGCTCTAGAGTTTCATCTCCATGGGGGTACCAGTTACGGCCGGGGAATCAGAGTCTTGCCAGAAAGTAACTCTGATGTGGACCAACTGAAAAAGTAAGCAAATTATATGCCTATTTAGAAATTGTAAATAAGGTATTAATTAAGCTGATTTCCAAGATACTATTGTTCTGGACTGGGGTGGATGGATCCGGTAAGCTCTTTGTAATTGATCCTCCTAACCTGTGCCAGCCATCCATTTGTTTAAATAGATGAAGCAAATGAAACAAATCAAGCGACTGTAGGTTCAAATAGCTAAATAGTAGCAGAGCTGGGGATGTGGTCTAAGGTTTCCAGTAGTTGTGTACTTACATCTACTCTGTGCTTGTGCTCTCCTTCCACCATTTGGCACATTTCCCAAGTACACCAACAAACAGTTGAACCTGGAGTTTAGCTAGTTTGGAAAACTTGATACATATCTAGAATTCCAAACATACTTAATCCTGAAAAAATATCTCTTTAAAGTGCCTATGACTGATAAAATAGGTAACAGAAGTGTTTTGGAGTATCATATTTTAAAAACTTTTAGATGTGCCCAGAAAGTGAATAGTAAGTCCTGCTACATAGGCAGTTCTCTTTTTTGTGAAGTATCTCCAGGGCTCACTGTGTACAGAAACTTTTTCGCCAGTAATCTAAAGAAAAATAAATCTTCTGCGTATCTTCAAAGAGCTCTAGAAAATAAACCCATTCAGTAAGTTGAAATGAAATAATATTTTTACATTTTAATATATTGAAATCAGCATGACTTTTAAAACCAATTAAATAAGCTATTTTAATAATCTTGTATCAGTTTTCTTTATTCCTCATATTGCCTTATATAGAGAGAGCATAGTATTTCACTTTTGGACTGGAATGAGATTGTTCTGACAGAATGCCATCATTAAATTCCCAGTTTATTTTTGTTTGCAGCATTTCACTGTCCTACTGTTTTACTCATATCTTTCTAGAATCTGTTTTTTTTTTAATTTGGGGTACCTTAGAACCCCCAGACCACCTGAGGAGAGCCATTACACACACACATAATTTTTACACAATTTCAGTGATTTCTTGGTTTCTAAGGATAGAACTAAACTGATCATACTGACTTTGTTTTGTGCAATTAGATTTGAAATTATATTCTTTCAATTATAGGGTTTTAGAATCTGCCGATTTGACAGCCAATCAGTGTTTTGATGGTATATGTCATTCAGAGCACGAGGACAGCTTTCGGACTCTTTCAAGTAAGGACAGTTTTTAATGTTAACAGTTTAGTCTTTGCTAACTGAAATGGCTTTATCAGTATTAGTTCTCTTTTTTAATATCTTCCCATCTCTGCCTCTCCTTTTTTGTTAAATCCATATTCATTGTAAAGGAACAGGCTAAATCTATATCTGTGTCCTATGTAAAGGTAAACATTATTTCTCCCTGAATTGTATAATTGCATTTTCAAATTGGAATGGTAGGGATTACTTGATTTGTGATATATGTAGTATTTATGTATGTATGTTTACATTGTGTGTATATATGTATACGTGTGTATGTGTGTATATTCATTAAAATTCTGTATTTCCTAGGCAACCACTTTGCTTCTCAGTTTCTAAAATGAACAATGGTTGTTTTTGTTGCTTTATTTCAAAGAGCTAGATTATTTTTTGATCATACATATTTTAGAAATACACCTGGTTCCCAGTCTTTATCAAGTTCATCAAGTTCCTAGTTACAAGATCTTAAACACTTAGTTCTGTATTTATATTATTGCCTGCCTGAATAGGTGACTATTCAAATCTAAATTTAAATCTTACAGATTTTCTCCTTTACCATTTTGCTTTAATATCTAATGGTACTTTCTGGGGCCTAGAATCTATGTTATGTTTTTATCCCATATTTATTTTTTCAGTGTAACTCCTTCCCTTATGATATAAGCTATTTTAAGAGTATTTTCTCTTTCTATACCAGTAATGATAAGCATTAAAATTAACATGTATTGCTTGGTTTAGGTACTAAGTGCCTAATCCTAACAGCACTCCTTTGAGGTTGAAATTATTTTGTCCCTTTTACAGAAAGGAAACTGAGGCTTTGAGTGATAGGGGTCATGTAATTCGCCCAGGGTTACTTAGCTATTAACTAATAGCAAAGTCAGTCAGATTCAAGTACAGCTTATTTGATTTTTTTTTTTTTTTTTTTTACATATTTTAAGTTTATTTCTTTATTCTCTCTGCCTTAAAACTCTCCACATTTCCTAGCACCTTGGTGATGGCATTTTAGCCTGATCTGTGATTACTTAAACTACCATTAGCAGGTCAATTTACTTCAATTTTTGACAGTCATTTGTGGACAGCATAATTTGTAATTATACTTTTTGAAATCTCTTTTCTCCTTTTACAAAGATTTTTAAATTGTTTTTAAATTATAAAGTTAATACATGTCATAATATCAAGTTACACAGCTTCCCCATGCCCTTGTGCCCACTCCTGAGGTAATGTTAAGTTTAGTGTGGTTTCTTCAACACTTTCATGTTTATACAAATATACATACCTGTACATAGACAGACCTGACTTTCCCCTCTGTTTAAAATATTTATCAAAATGGAGCACTTGTGTGCCTCAGTTGGTTGAGCGTCCAACTCTTGATTTCAGCTCAGGCCTTGATCTCAGGGTTGTGAGTTCAAGCCTTGCGTTGGGCTCCATGCTGGGCATGGAGCCTACTTAAATTTAAAAAATGGGACCATACTATACGGTTGCTTTCTTTATCAGTGGATCATAGACCTTTTTATGGGCTAATCCATGTTACTCAAACTCATTCTTCTAATAGTGCACAGTATTTTATAATGTGACTCTAACATTATAAATCCAGCTATTTTCCATTTGATAGACATTCAGGTTGTTTCCAGTTGTTTGCTCTTAACAAATAATGCTTTAAAAACCATCCTTGAACAATTGTACATTCCTGCTTTTCTTTCTCTAAAATAAACTCCTAAAAGAGGGGTTGATAAATCAAAGCGTAAGCAGATCTTTTATTTTAATAGATGCTGTCAGATTATATGACAGAATGTCATAGGATTCATATGCAAATAGCAGTGTAGGAAAATGTCCTTTCCTCACACTCTCAGTGGTATTGGAGGTTACCACTATATGTAAATTTTGACAGTTTGGCAGATATAAGGTGATATCTTATTTAGTTTCCTTGAGTACTTGGAAACCTGAAAATACTATATATTTATCAACCCTTTTTACTTCCTCTTTTTTGAATTGTCTGTTCTTACCCTTTACCTGATTTTCTGCTGGATTTTTTAACCTTTCTTTTTTTTTTATCAGTTTGTGGGAGACCATGTATATATTTTACACTGATTTTCTTTTTATTTGACTGCTTTTATTGCCATTGTTTTCATTTAATGCAGAATGGCTGATATTAAGTAATCAGATTCATTGAAATTATACTTTGCCAGCTTAAGTTGTCCATTCAGGTTCTCTTGTCATGGATTCTTATGCCATTTATTAGTGATGTTGAGGAAGAAGGACAGTTTCATATGTTTGTATATGATGCCACATAAAATAAATTATAAAAACATACTGTACTACTATATGTAATAGAATGTAAGCTAAAGTAACTGCAAAATATGGATACTTTTTTAGTCTCAAATTCTTCATTTTAGAAAACACCATTAAAACTTATTACTATATTCACTACTTCTGCTTTCTTGTTAAAGTAAAATCCTATGTTAAGTGTTCATCAAGTCATCCTATTCAGTTTAGTAAGTTTATTATCTTATTTACTTCTCCCTTTGTTTCTTTCACAATGTGTTTTTTCCAAAATAATAAAAATTTTCAAACATACAGAAAAATTGAAACAGTTGTATAGTGAACACTAATATACCTACTACTTGGATTCTCTTTGCTCTGTCATATACTTTCTCTGCCTTTTACTCCATTAGTCCATCTTATATTTTGATATATTTCAAAGTAAGTTGCAGACATAAATACACCTCCTAAACACTTCAGAATGAATATCATTAACTAGAATTCAATATTTGTTGAGGATTTTTTAAATTTTTGGTGTAAAGTTATATGCAGTGAAATGGACAAGTTAAGTGTACCATTCCATGTGCTTTGGCTAATATATAAACCCGTGTAACTTAGATCCCTTTAAAAACCTAAAACATCATGCTTGTTGAAGGAGGTTCCCTCATGCTGCTTCCCAGCCAGTCCTGACCTCCACTCCAGCCCCATAAATTCTGATTTTTTTTGCACCATAGATAATTGTGCCTCTTCCAGAACTTCAAATAAATGGAATAATATATTATGTACTCTTTTACGTACTATAGGTTTGTGAAATTCATCCATATTGCATGTATTAGTAGTTCCTTTTTAATTCCTAGTAGTATGGTATGAGGTAGACATTTTTTTCAATATGAATTTCTAGTCATTGAAGCACCATTAGTTTCCTTTCTGTAAGATGACTTGGGTGTCTGTCAAAAACCAAGTGGGTATAAATGTGGATTTATTTCTGGGCTTTCCGGCCAGAAATACTTGGTAGTATGGTGTGAAGTAAGCATTTTGTTTCCTCATACTAATTTCCAGTTGTTGCAGTACCAGAGTTTTGCTCTCCCTTTGGATTGCTTTGCCGCCTTTATCAAAAATGAAATGCAGGTTTATTTCTAGGCTTTTTTTGTAATTCTGTTGATAGGTTTGTCAGTCTTTATGCCAGTATCATATTGCCTTGATTATTATAGCTTTATAGTAAGTCTTGAAGTCAGGTAGTATAAATCCTCCAGTTTTGTTCCTTTTTCAGGATCATATTTTATATTCTAGGTTCTTCACGTATTCACTTAAGTGATAGAATCTCTTGTCTTTTTCTGCAATAAAGCCTCCTCAATTTTGATTAGGATTGTATTGAATTTACAGATCAATTTGGGGAGAATTGATGTCTTAACAGTTTTGAGCCTTCCAGTCCGTGAGCATAGTAAATTTTACTCTTATTTGGATTTTCTTCAGTTCCAGTCAGCAATGTTTTATAGTTTTCAATGACACATGGGATTTTTAATGGATTTTAAAACTGTATAATTCTTCTTCCCTTCTTCCTGTAGGCTCTGGATCAGTATCACTATATGAGGTAGAAAGATGTCAGCAACTATCAGCTACAAGTAAGACCATGTTTCATTTTTGAAATGTGGGTATAATAGTGTGCATAATAAAGTCTATTGTTACCAACTGATTTGTTCCTATCTAATTTTGAGAGCAGATATCCATGAGAGCAAAAATATATCCCTATTTATATTTTATTTCCCTCCCTCATCCTAAGTGGCTTATATAAAATGGAACCCAGAAAGATACATGTTTTTACATTGACTATATAATTAAGTCACATATATGTAAGATTTATAAAACATATTCTATTTAACAGTGCAATGGGGCTTATTTTGAGAACATAAAATATCTTATACGACATAATTTTTATCTGTTCATGCTGTGCCCTTAGCTGTGTGCCCATAAAGGCGCTCCTTACAATATACCCCAAAACTTTGTTAGCAGTGATAGTAAATCTGTCAGATGCCCTCTTTCTGTTACTTCAGCTCAGATAAAAAAATTTAAGAACAAATATTTTTAAGCACAAGTCTATTAAATGAAATTCTGTAATATACTCTTAAAAAATAGGAGTTTCTCATTATTTGAGAAATAACATATAATTATGAAATGGGAGAAAGCTCAAAGAAAGAAGCTTGTGGTGGTGTTATTGGAATAGGAAGTGTCAGTGTGTACTCATGGTTTTATACACAGATACAGAAGTCGATGCAAATAGGTCTTTGTATATATGTATTCATTCAAATACATATTCATATAGGTGCATGTGTGTAAGTATAGGTATGAACACGTGTGCATATATACCCTATCTCTGTCCAGTTAAAGGGCTTTGAAATAATGGCACGTCCCAGTAGCAGTGAAGGCACCTGGTGCACAAATCTTGGCTTATAAATAATACTCCCCCTTAAAAGGAGTCAGGGCTGCTTATAGAAATAGCAGACTCCAGGATTGGAACAGGAGAATTATAAGATGAGTCTGGAACATCTTGTGCCAGAAAGTAAAGAAGTTCTCAGTTAATAATGGAGCATGTCAAATTTGATACAATATGAGCATTAAAATAAAAAAATACTAGCGATGGAATAAAACTGAATAAAGTAGTAATCCATTGGTCCATGTGGGTAGTAAATAAGAGAACAAATGAATGAATAAATAAGTGAGATTAAATGGAAAGCTCTGAGTTACAATAGAAAGATGACTAGTAAATGTAAAAGGAATGATGAAGTTAGGGAAGAAAATCATTTTGCAACCATGATAGTAATAATTGATTTAGTTGTAAATCATCAGTAGGTCCTAAACTATCAGGATCCTAAATGTTTACTGAGGAGTGGGATATTTATATTTCTCCAAGTACTTTCTTATTATAAAGCGGAAAATAATAAATTTATAGTGGAGAGATCTGCTGAGTACCACCATAACCAACTGAGCAAAGTTACCATTCCCAGGAGTGAAAACACTGATAAAATATATACCTCTTAATACGATACAGAGAAGGACAATTGTATCACTTATTGTATAGCATACTGCCAAAAATGCATGATCTGTATCTGATCATGAGCAGAACCAGACACACCCAAATAAATGGCCTCTACTCCTCAAATATTATCAATGTCATGAAAGATAAAGAAAAGCTGAGGGACCGTTCTACATTAAAGGAGTCCAAAGAGACAGGAAAAATAATTGCAATACATGGTTCAGGATTGGATTCTGGACCTGAAAATAAAATTCTGAATAAGAACATTATAAGGGGGGGACAGATGGAGAAATTTGAATAATGTCTGTTGATTCAATGATAATTTTACATCAGTATTATAGGTTCTGAAGTTGGAAATTGCACTGTAATAGGACAATGAAATTTCTTGTGAAATACACACTGAGATATTTAGGGATAAAGGAGCATGATATCTGGAAATTATTCTCAAATGATTCATATATATGAATCTGTAAGGAGATACATATGGAGAGAGAGCTAAAGACATGATGATGATAAATGTGGCAAAATATTAACAAAGCTGACAATATAACTTTAAATAATTCAATTCTGTATCTGGTTTGGGGAGTTTATATTATGAATATTCTTATTCTTGTAGATTATTCTAATTAAAAATTCTTTTTAGTACTTACAGATCATCAATATTTGGAGAAAACCCCAATATGTGCTATTTTGAAACAAAACGCTCCTCAACAGTATCGTATTCGAGCAAAATTAAGGTCATATAAGCCGAGAATACTCTTTCAGTCTGTTAAACTTCATTGTCCTAAATGTCATGCACTGTAAGTATTTTCCATAATAAAATGCAAGTTTCTATTTCATAATGTTTATGAATATACATTTTCATATATATCAGTTTAAGTCCTGGCAGTGAGTAAATTATGACTTTGTGTATTGTATTTTGAAACAGTGGTAACTTTTTTTTGTTTTATTATGTTAATCACCATACATTACATCATTAATTTTTGATGTAGTGTTCCATGATTCATTGTTTGCGTATAACACCCAGTGCTCCAGTGGTAACGTTTTTAAGAGAAAATACTAAAATCTTAGTAAATCGTTCTGATATTTCTTAGTAATGATAAGTAGGTGCTTTTTTGCAATCTGAAATTCAATATAGTAGCTCTGATACATGCAAACAAATAATAAACTATAAAAATATTTGAGGAGGGACACCTGGGTGGCTCAGTCTGTTAAGTGTCTGCCTTCGGCTCAGGTCATGATCTCAGGGTCTTGGGATTGAGTCCTGTGTTGGGCTCTCTGCTCAGTGGGGGTGTCTGCTTCTCCCTCTCTCTCTCTCTCTGTGCGCTCTCTCTCTCTCTCAAGTAAATAAGTAAAATCTTAAAATATATATATATATTTGGGGAGACTTTCTCTTCACAAAAAAACTTGAAAATAAACCTTTAATAACTAAAATTTTTAAATAGAGAATTCTGCTTAGATGAAATTTTTTTTTTTTTAAGATTTTATTTATTCATTTGAGAGAGAGAGAGAGAGGCAGAGAGAGCACACACAGGGGGAGAGGGAGAAGCAGACTCCCCGCTGAGCTGGGAGCCCGATGTGGGGCTCGATCCCAGGACCTGGAGATCACGACCTGAGCCGATTGCAGATGCCTAACCATCTGAACCACCCAGGTGCCCCTGGATGAAATTTCTAAGTAAGTGTTAGAGAAAGCCTTGTTGGCAATACTTCTGTCTTATAATATGTTAAATATAATTTAAATTTTTATTAATCATTGAGAATTCTCAGTGCATCAGACTTCCAAACATCAATTATTATATATATAAATAAATTTATAAGACATTAGAATGAATATGTATTATTAGCTCAAGACATTCTGAAATTATTTTTAATCTCTTTTCCTTTTTTTATACAATTTGTCTTTCCTCTAAATATATAATGTGTAAATAAAGTACATTTCCATTTTAAAGTACTTACTTGTGTGTGCACATCTGTGTGTACACTAATACTAATGTATGTATATTTTCCCCTCCAAAATCTAAGTATGGTACTGTTTGTAGAGATTTTTGATCATCAAACCTTAAATAAAATGGGGGACCATCTGCTACCCATTTGAGCTAAAATGGTAGTTGGAATTAAAATATAAAGACAGATATCAGGTACTTGCTGAAGTATTATTAAATTACAGTTTGTCAAATTCTCTAAAGTCATATAGCTTTGCCAAACAAAGCCATCCTCTCTGAGCATTTTTTTAAACAAATAAAATCTTCTCAGAAGGGTTAAGAGGTGTTACCTAAAGTTACACCAGCTGGTTGGGGACAGAACCAGGATAAGGACATAGACCTTTTGATTCCAGATCATGCCATTTCTATTGCATACATACTTTACCAGGTGACTTTTTAAAATTATTATTCTAAGTTAAAAGTAATCAAAGAGAATGTTGATTTGTAAAGTAGGTCCCCTATGAAAGGGGAATTACTTAGGTGGTAAGTGGATATTGAATGGGCAGCTGTCTTTTTTTCCCCACAGAGAAGTTTAACATTCTATACAAGAGGAGAATTAATTGGTGCTAGAAATAGTTATAAGATCCTTGGTATCACAAAACCAGATAAGGAAATTCCTGGCAGTTAATGTAATTATGGTATGGATCTACTTAGTCATGAAGTATCATCAAATACCTTTTTTGTTGAATAAGAGTCATTTAATCTGCAAAGTGAACTATCTCCATATTTTAAAATAAGTAGCTGGCTCATCAGCATATAAACAATTTTTTTAAATTGGATAATTTGTTAAATTTGATTTTCTAAGCTTATACCAATTGTTTTGTATTTCATTGTCAATGATTTTAGGCAAGAAGTTCCACATGAGGGTGATTTGGATGCAATTTTACAAGAGGGTGCAAGTAAAACCCCAGATATCAAACTACAAAATACATCATTATATGATTCGAAAATGTGGACCACTACAGATCAAGGAGAACGAAAAGTTGCTGTTCATTTTGTAAAAAATAATGGTATTCTTCCACTTTCAAATGACTGTCTGATTTTGATAGAAGGTAAAGTATTTTAATTACTGTTTTACTAGAATACAGCTTTTGCTTATGTCTTTCTCTGATTAATGATTGTTAAATATATTTTAGGGGCAACCTAGGACATATAAAGTCAAAATGTTATTTTAACTTCCGTAAAATGGAATATATTATATATAACGGGTAGATTTAAATATATACATATACACATACATAAATTAATCTGAATGACATTTTGAAGTTATACATTGAACTCAAGTGTTTGCATTTGTCCACCTTTTTGGATATAATCTTAATGAGATTCAAGCTCATTGTGGAGCTGAGTATTAATCAAGAGGATGCTTGTTAGGTACAGTTGCTGCTGTTTTGGCCTCTGGATGTCACTGTTGTTCCATAAAAGTAGAATGAAAGTCATCTATTGATATGTAAGTCAAGGAAGGGACCCTTGAAACAAGTGAAGATAACTCGACATATGTCTTCAAAGAATGAAACTGAGTCATATTTATTTTTGCATTTCCTTTCCACTTTTGTCTGATTTTATTCTGATGTTTATCACATATATATACCACATATTTTTTCCCATGCCAAATTTAAAGTTTCATTATTTTCCTTGAGACTTTTCTTCCTTGAGAACATTCCATAATAAAAGTAGAACATCATCTTTAATTTGCAGAGAAATCTTTAGTTTCATTTTATAAATGAACTGATCTTTATTACAGTGGATTATGATCATTTTTATTACTCACATTTTTCTGTTTATAAAAGTAATATGTAATTGTTTTAGTGTATGTGTGTGTATATATATATACACATATATATATGAATACACATGAATATTACCATTGGTATTATTTTCATGAACATCTTTTATTTTAACATATTTATGGTTTACCAGAAATGATTTTCATTTCTATGTATTTAATTACAATAATCCTATTCAGCTAGTACTATTATAAGCTGTTTTTTATACATGAGAAAACTGAATCATAGAGAAGTTTTAGGTCTTTCCCAGTACAGGTAGAAGTGGAACTGAATTGTTCCCTGTTTTTTTTTGACATAGTAACTCTACAGTGAACTTTATCTTCCCTCTGGATGAAGTGTAGTTAGGGGGGCACAAGGAATTAAGTAAATGCCCAATTACTTTCCAATAAAGCTGTCATAGTATTCATATGCTTTAGTAGCATATGAGATTATCTGTCCCCCCAACCTCATCATCATATACTAGCACTTAAGAAAATTTGTCCACCTTGGTGAGTGAAATGTGGTATCTTATTCCATTAGCAATATTTTAATCTCTACCAGGAAATAGATATAAAAACAAAACACACAGACACATGCACACTCAAAAAATGGAGTAAGACTGTTTGTGTGCTCTAAAAACAAAATAAAGCCCTGGACCTATCAGGTTCTGTAAGAACTGTCCTTGTAGGGCCAGCTAAGAGGATATCAAGTATAACATAGGGTTCTCCTATGTTACACAGCCTCCCACAATTCTGTGATGAAGTCAATCAAGTTAAACTTAAGGGTTCAAAAGAAGCTTGAAGAAGTACCTTTAGCTCCTGATCCTATCTTTAATTACCACTCATCCCACAAACTTTCAATCTCATCTACGATTTCTCAATTCTCATTCCACCCTCCAGCCATATCAAACTGGTGGCAGAAATATCTACCCTAAACCCAGGATATTTCTCTGTGCCTCTTTGCCATTCCATTGCTGTTCTGAGAATTTTTGCTCTAGTACATGTTGAGAAGTAACTCAGTAATTCCTGTTACTCAGCGATTCATGTGAAATACTTAATGAGCATCTACACATACGAAGCAGTCTTCTGATTCACCAGGCAGATTTGAGTGGTTCTTATTGCATAGCGTATGAACTTTCAGTAGATCACTTTTCTTCTTGTATTATATTTGCATTATATCTGTCTGTTTATAGATTTGTTTGCTTATTAGAATGTAACTGCCCTAAAGCGCAGGATACATGTTTATTTTAATCTATATATCTTCAGCACCTAGGGTAGGACAACAGGCATGCAGCTGGTTCTCAGTAAATATATATTAAGTAAATAAGTATATCCAGAGTAATAACACTTTTTAATGAAAGTCAATGAAAATATATCTGAAAGCACTTTAAAATTTAAAAGTGTTCCATCAAAATGCAAGCTATTTTTATTTTATCGTATTTCTGAGTATTATAACCATAATAAGAGCTAGAATCTAACTGCAGTATGACATGGCAGAACTGTGGTTTCCACAAAGTTGTGCAAAGAGGAATGGGACCCGGGCAAGTTGCTGTCCTTACCAAGATTTATCTCCTTTTTCTGAATAAATACTCCTTGGATTGTTTCAAGACTTTGGTTAATTTCTAGAGTTCCGAAAACAAATTTGACAGTTTTGGCCAATGTTCTTTTTCCTTTTATGGAGCAGTGTATTTTTGGAAGTCCTTACTCTGCTGTGCTGGAAGTGCTCCCCCTCACAATTGAGTTTAACATTACAAATTTTAGGAAGTACACGAAAGTATTTTTATAAGTCGTATTCTCTTTCCTTGGAGAGGAAGAATTATCAATCTAGGTGAAAAATACACCAGAAAAGGTACCAGTAGGTTTGAGTGATTAGAATACTGCCTTCTGGTAGTAGTGCACCACTGGGCATCCTCTTTCTTCTCAGCCCACATGACGGCTTTTAATGGCCACTTTGTCACAGAATTGGAATTATTGAGGATTTTTCAGGAAAAACGAACAAACACTATACATGAATTATTATTATCTGAACTGTTTGCATCTGTACTTATTTATTTCACAGAGAGAGATAGTGAGGGCAGGAACACAAGCAGGGGGAGTGGGAGAGGGAGAAGCAGGCTTCCCACGGAGCAGGGAGCCTGATGCAGGGCTCAATCCCATGACCCTGGGATTGTGACCTGAGCTGAAGGGAGACGCTTAACGACTGAGCCACCCAGGCGCCCCCTTGCATCTGTATTTAAATATAAAGTTGACCTGAAAGTTTAAAAGATTTATTTCAAACTCAAGACTACATTTACCTAGACATTATTAGTGTGTATAGCAAATTTAATAATGAGAATCCTGTTATACTTTGGCTCTCAATTTTATTTTCTTTTGAATACTTAACCAAAGTGTTCTGGCATAAAAGAGCAATTTGTATAAAAATTTAGGAAAATGGTTAAAATTTCACAAGCCTTGTATTTTGCTCAAGTCTCAGCATTTTTGTGCAGTGGTTTCTTAAATCAGGGCAGGATACTAAGTTTACAAATTATATATTTTACAATAAATGTATTAATCATCTAAATTCATGCCTTCATTGTCTTTTTCTTTCAGTCCCCTTAGTCTTTTACTATACGTCATGTGTTACTTAATAAACACTCGATCTTGCCTTCATTATATTTGTACTACTTGAAGGATTTATTTATTCTTTGTTAATAGGAGGTACACTTGGTGAAATCTACAAACTTGCAAACAAGTTTCATAGTGTAATTCCTGTGAGATCTGGCCATGAAGACTTGGAAGTCCTTGATCTTTCAGCACCATTCCTTATACAAGGAAAAATACATCACTATGGGTATGCTTTCAAATCTGGGAATTTTGGGAATTAAAAACTGCATAGCAATAATTTTTATTATTTTATCCTAGTAGTAGCTATATAGTCAATGGATACCAATTTATATGTACTAGATTTTTGTGGTATATGTTTATTCTTTTGGTAGCATATGTATCAACTACCTACAATGTGCTAAGTATAAGGCTAACCCAGGGGCTAATATTCTTTTGTTTTCTTTCATAAAGATTTAGATAATAGTACAGAGAAAGGTTCAGAGCTGTATCCTCATAAAAGTTAAGTGATTGAATTCCAAAGTTTCTGTGCCAGGAAGTTACAGAGTAGTTGGCACTGAGGAATTGGAAGATAATCAGAATATATTAGGAGCTAGAAACAGGCATGCATTTCAAGAAATTTGTAGTCTCTCTTGTACTTTTTTAACTTTATGGTTTCTTTTATTTTACAAATTTTTAAAATAGTAATATGATTATATTTATCAAAATGCTTGTGAAATCTTAAAGATTTTGCTTACTTAGGTTTTAGTTACTTTATTCAGATTTCTGGACCTGATTCTTTTTAAACAGAATTTAAACTAATGCTTCAGTTTCTTTAACAGTTATACATCTCTTACGGTTTTTTATTTCTTGAATCTATTTTATTAATGGATTTTTTTTTTAGAAAAGTTTTCATCTCTTATGTAAATTTAAATTTATTGACATAAAAGTGTTTATAGTACTTTTGATGATTTTTAAATCTCCACCTTGTTCATGAATCCACTTAATATTATTTGCACCTTTTTTTTTTACCTTTTTTGCCAAAGCAACTAGATTTGTTCTGATACTCGCTATTGTTATATTATTGTTCATATCTTTATTTTTTGCATTTATTTTTTTTAGGTTTCCTTGGCTTTTCTTTTTTTATCTTTATTTTCTGCATTTACTTTTTTTAGGTTTCTTTGGTTTTTCTTTTTCAAACCTTTTTAATTGAATGCTTATCTCACTTATTAATTTTTCGTATATTTTTTAATATTTACATTTAAGCCCATAATATTTCCCCGAGAAAATGGCCATAGCTTTAACCCAGGATTTGATAGGTAGTGGTGTTTGTTCTTTTTTTTTTTTTTAATCTCTTCTAAATGTTTCCTAATTCTCATTATGATTTCTTCTTAGGCCCATGAATTATTTAACTGTGTTTTGAAGTTTTCTCACAGACGCATTTTAGGTTCTATACTTTTTTTGTATTTTATTTTATTTTTTTAAAGATTTTATTTATTTATTTGACAGAGAGAGACACAGCGAGAGAGGGAATACAAGCAGGGGGAATAGGAGAGGGAGAAGCAGGTTTCCCCCGGAGCAGGGAGCCCGATGCGGGGCTCGATCCCAGGACCCTGGGATCATGACCTGAGCT